TTTCGCTCCATTCTCTCTACATGTCCGAACCACCTCAACAACCCTTCCTCAGCCCTCTGGACAACAGTTTTGGTAATCCCGCACCTCCTCCTAACTTCCAAACTACGAATTCTCTGCATTATATTCACACCACACATTGCCCTCAGACATGACATCTCCACTGCCTCCAGCCTTCTCCTCGCTGCAACATTCATCACCCATGCTTCACACCCATATAAGAGTGTTGGTAAAACTATACTCTCATACATTCCCCTCTTTGCATCCAAGGACAAAGTTCTTTGTCTCCACAGACTCCTAAGTGCACCACTCACCCTTTTCCCTTCATCAATTCTTTGCTTCACCTCATCCTTCATAGACCCATCCGCTGACACGTCCACTCCCAAATATCTGAATACATTCACCTCCTCCATATCTCTCTCCTTCAATCTGATATCCAATCTTTCATCACCTAATATTTTTGTTATCCTCATAACCTTACTCTTTCCTGTATTCACTTTTAATTTTCTTCTTTTGCACACCCTACCAAATTCATCCACCAATCTCTGCAACTTCTCTTCAGAATCTCCCAAGAGCACAGTGTCATCAGCAAAGAGCAACTGTGACAACTCCCACTTTATGTGTGATTCTTTATCTTTTAACTCCACGCCTCTTGTCAAGACCCTCGCATTTACTTCTCTTACAACCCCATCTATAAATATATTAAACAACCACGGTGACATCACACATCCTTGTCTAAGGCCTACTTTTACTGGGAAATAATTTCCCTCTTTCCTATGTACTCTAACTTGAGCCTCACTATCCTCGTAAAAACTCTTCACTGCTTTCAGTAACCTACCTCCTACACCATACACCTGCAACATCTGCCACATTGCCCCCCTATCCACCCTGTCATATGCCTTTTCCAAATCCATAAATGCCACAAAGACCTCTTTAGCCTTATCTAAATACTGTTCACTTATATGTTTCACTGTAAACACCTGGTCCACACACCCCCTACCTTTCCTAAAGCCTCCTTGTTCATCTGCTATCCTATTCTCCGTCTTACTTTTAATTCTTTCAATAATAACTCTACCATACACTTTACCAGGTATACTCAACAGACTTATCCCCCTATAATTTTTGCACTCTCTTTTGTCCCCTTTGCCTTTATACAAAGGAACTATGCATGCTCTCTGCCAATCCCTAGGTACCTTACCCTCTTCCATACATTTATTAAATAATTGCATCAACCACTCCAAAACTATATCCCCACCTGCTTTTAACATTTCTATCTTTATCCCATCAATCCCAGCTGCCTTACCCCCTTTCATTTTACCTACTGCCTCACGAACTTCCTCCACACTCACAACTGGCTCTTCCTCACTCCTACAAGATGTTATTCCTCCTTGCCCTATACACGAAATCACAGCTTCCCTATCTTCATCAACATTTAACAATTCCTCAAAATATTCCCTCCATCTTCCCAATACCTCTAACTCTCCATTTAATAACTCTCCTCTCCTATTTTTAACTGACAAATCCATTTGTTCTCTAGGCTTCCTTAACTTGTTAATCTCACTCAAAAAACTTTTCTTATTTTCAACAAAATTTGTTGATAACATCTCACCCACTCTCTCATTTGCTCTCTTTTTACATTGCTTCACCACTCTCTTAACCTCTCTCTTTTTCTCCATATACTCTTCCCTCCTTGCATCACTTCTACTTTGTAAAAACTTCTCATATGCTAACTTTTTCTCCCTTACTACTCTCTTTACATCATCATTCCACCAATCGCTCCTCTTCCCTCCACACCCACTTTCCTGTAACCACAAACTTCTGCTGAACACTCTAACACTACATTTTTAAACCTACCCCATACCTCTTCGACCCCATTGCCTATGCTCTCATTAGCCCATCTATCCTCCAATAGCTGTTTATATCTTTCCCTAACTGCTCCTCTTTTAGTTTATAAACCTTCACCTCTCTCTTCCCTGATGCTTCTATTTTCCTTGTATCCCATCTACCTTTTACTCTCAGTGTAGCTACAACTAGAAAGTGATCTGATATATCTGTGGCCCCTCTATAAACATGTACATCCTGAAGTCTACTCAACAGTCTTTTATCTACCAATACATAATCCAACAAACTACTGTCATTTCGTCCTACATCATATCTTGTATACTTATTTATCCTCTTTTTCTTAAAATATGTATTACCTATAACTAAACCCCTTTCTATACAAAGTTCAATCAAAGGGCTTCCATTATCATTTACACCTGGCACCCCAAACTTACCTACCACACCCTCTCTAAAAGTTTCTCTTACTTTAGCATTCAGGTCCCCTACCACAATTACTCTCTCACTTGGTTCAAAGGCTCCTATACATTCACTTAACATCTCCCAAAATCTCTCTCTCTCCTCTGCATTCCTCTCTTCTCCAGGTGCATACACGCTTATTATGACCCACTTCTCGCATCCAACCTTTACTTTAATCCACATAATTCTTGCATTTACACATTCATATTCTCTTTTCTCCTTCCATAACTGATCATTCAACATTACTGCTACCCCTTCCTTTGCTCTAACTCTCTCAGATACTCCAGATTTAATCCCATTTATTTTCCCCCACCGAAACTCCCCTACCCCCTTCAGCTTTGTTTCGCTTAGGGCCAGGACATCCAACTTCTTTTCATTCATAACATCAGCAATCATCTGTTTCTTGTCATCTGCACTACATCCACGCACATTCAAGCATCCCAGTTTTATAAAGTTTTTCTTCTTCTCTTTTTTAGTAAATGTCTACAGGAGAAGAGGTTACTAGCCCATTGCTCCCGGCATTTTAGTCGCCCCATACGACACGCATGGCTTAGGGAGGAAAGATTCTTTTCCAATTCCCCATGGACAATAGAAGAAATAAAGAAGAACAAGAGCTATGTAGAAAAAGGAGAAAAACCTAGATGTATGTATATATATATGCATGTGCATGTCTGTGAAGTGTGACCAAAGTGTAAGTTGGAGTATCAAGATATCCCTGTTATCTAGTGTGTTTATGAGACTGGATATAAATGCAATGGAAAATGTACAAAGGAGGATGACAAAGCTGATCCCATGTATCAACAATCTTCCTTATGAGGATAGACTGAGGGCCCTGAATCTGTACTCTCTAGAAAGGTGTAGAATTAGGGGGGATATGATTGAGGTGTATAAATGGAAAACAGGAATGAATAAAGGGGATGTAAATAGTGTGCTAAAAATATCTAGCTTAGATAGGACTCACAGCAATGGTTTTAAGCTGGAAAAATTCAGATTCAGGAAGGATATAGGAAAGCACTGGTTTGGTAATAGAGTTGTGGATGAGTGGAACAAACTCCCGAGTACCGTCATAGAAGCTAAGACGTTGTGTAGTTTTAAAAATAGGTTAGATAAGTACACGATGTAGGACATGCCTTGTATGGGCCAGTAGGCCTTCGGCAGTGTTCCTCCATTCTTATGTTATGTTCTTAGGAGTGAGAGTGGTTGGATTTGAGTGGGAGTTGCATATGAGTGGATAGATTTATCAGAGCTTATTTCTTTTGTGGCATTGAAAACTGGGTTGGAAAAATATTTTGTTAGTGGGATGGATTATAAAGGACCTGTCTAGTATGGGCCAACAGGCCTGCTGCAGTGTTCCTCCTTTCTTATGTTCTTATGAGTGGGCATGGGTGAGTGAGAGTTTGACCTGACTAGCTTGTGCTTCTAGGTCAGGTGCCATGCTCCTTCCTTAAGTGAACGTGACCTGACCTGACCTGACCTGGCTAGGTTATTAAGGCACTGGCTTATGCTGGTAGAACTAGACCTGCCTCGAATGGGCCAGTAGGTCTGCTGCAGTGTTCCTTCTTTATGTTTTATCTCTGACTCTCTGCTTTCCCTGTGAATACCTCCTTAAATTTCTTCATTAGCTCCTCAGACTTCCTGGCCATTCTTTGTGAGAACTCCTTCCTTCTTCAGGCTAATTATTTGGTCCTTTAGTGTTGTCTTCCTCATGATGTGGCTGTACAGCAACTCTGAGATGGATTTGTCTTTTGATGCTATGTCACTATCAAACTGTCATCGAGCCTCTCTTCTTATCCCTGCATATACATATCTGGCTCCTCACCTCATCATTTTCTGGTCAGCCTTACTGGTTCATCCCCTCCAATATCTGGTTGTTTCCCTGTAGTCCCTTGTGTGGCATGTATGTGCATGTGTTTGTGCAAGTGTGCATGAATGCATATGTGTACATGTGTGAATGTTCGAATGTACATACACAAATGTGTTTAAATGTCAATAATCAGTAGAAGAGGTTACTGAAGTGCTGCATGAATCAGTAACTTGTCAACAACACTCAGGTTCTCTTCATAATTTATTCTTTTCTTACATCCTCTGCTTTTGCAGTTAAGCACAATGAACAAGCTTTTCCTCTTCAAACACAGCCTAACTGACAGTACAGTGGTACCTCGGGATACGAACTTAATTCGTTCCAGAAAGCTGTTCGAGTGCCGATACCAAACGAATTTGTTCCCATAAAGAATAATGTAAATTAGATTAATCCATTTCAGACCCCCAAAAATACACTTACAAAAGCACTTACATAAATACACTTACATGATTGTTAGAGTTTTGAGCTGTTCGCATCCCGAGGTACCACTGTATTATTAAGTATATTGTCACTATCTTCCAACAAAGGCCAGGAAACTGAGCATTGTTCTCCATGTTGCAGGGTCTGTAAATAACTGAATTAAGCAGCCCACTTGTTTTAAGACCTGTGCAGTTGGTGGCAGTTACTGAGCAAAAAATGACGAGTCCATTTACTGGTGTATTGTGTCTGCAGACATGTCACTATTCTTATCAGTGGTTCACAGAACCCAGTAACAGAATAAACTTCTTTTCTTTATTTGTTGTCTTTTATGAAATCTATAGTCAGTTATTAGTTGTAAAATAAAGAATACACAATGTAAACACTTGAAATATACTAAGACAGGTCTGGAAAATCAGTATCCTACCTGATATGGCTGAGCCCCTGGAAGACCAACCTCCATAGCATTCACAAGTGCTAGTTGATCTAATGCCATTTTCCTTTTTCGATAAAAATAACAGCCGCCTCCTAGAGCGCCTGAAACCAATGCAACAGCAAACAAACCACCTGAAAGTAAACATATCTTTTGTGTTGGGTATATTATAAAATAACGAAAAAGTTTACTTAAAAGGTTAATGCCATGTTATTTTTTTATCCCCTTATTCAGTAAATGAAGAATCACAAAAATCAAACATGGGTTGTCATTGCAATTGTGTTCAATGCCTTTCTCATGCCCAAACATCTCCCCATTCTGGACATTCTTTCTAATAAAAGTCAATATTAATAAGGTTAAAATAAAATTTAAGAGGTGGCCTGGTGGTTAACGCTCTCGCTTCACACGGTGAGGGCCTGGGTTCGATTCCCAGCCAGAGTAGAAACATTGGACGTGTTTCTTTCCACCTGTTGTCTATGTTCCCCATCAGTAAAATGGGTACCTGGGTGTTAGTCGACTGGTGTGGGTCGCATCCTGGGACACTGACCTAAGGAGGCCTAGTCACAGACCGGGCCGCGGGGGCGTTGACCCCCGGAACTCTCTCCAGATAAACTCCAGATATGGCTTCTCAAATATGAAACAAGCCTAAATCTTAAACAAAATCCATTTTACAGACAGCATTTAGTGGTACAGGGCTCATGGATCTACATTCCTGTCAGACACTGCAACTTCTTGTGATCTTAATACTTGGGAATTCTTCTCTTGGATAACCCTTGGGCACGACCTACTTCCACATGGACATATGTGACACATCCTACGACTGCTGCACCTCTCCTGACTACGGTATATAAGCCACTTCTCCACTCATATGCTGTATTCTATTCAAGATTGATGGACTGACCACATCGACTCAAGGTTGAGGGACTGATTACCTCATTCTCCTCCTGCTCTTCACGTTTCTCCTTTGTATGGACTGATGAAGCCACTGTGTGGCAAAACGTTTCCTCAATAAAGATACCCAAGAGTTGCACATGTGTCTAATTTATCAACATGTCGGTTCTCTGAACCATTCATCTACACTTACATAAAATTCTGCATTTTGGTGTCATTACCTTCAGAAAAAGATTCCTTACCATTTTAAAATATAATTTTTTTTTAAATTGTGACACTAATGGGACTTAAAATTTTAGGGGTTGCAACAGTAAAAGGGTAAATAAGGTTTAACTCTCCTTATATCTTGTAAGTAAGTTTATTCAGGTATACACAAATACAGTTACACAGATTATCATACATAGCAACATATGTGTAGAGAACCTAGGATAACCCAAAAAAAAAAAAAAAGTCAGAGTGACTTATTTCCACTGGAAGAATGCCCAATTTGTGGCATGGCTAATCCTAATAACCCTAAATAAATTTTAAAAGCAGTGGACCGGTAAGACAGTAGAAGGCTTTGGTCAAATTACCAAAAGCTGCAGTAGTGGGTCATCATGCGACTAGGATTTGCATTTGGAAACAATTGTCCTGATTCTTGACTAATCTTACCTAACTTAGTGTGACAGATAATTCCATCCTGCAATCAACCTCCCTCTTACCTTAAGAACATAAGAAAGGAGGAACACTGCAGCAGACCTGTTGGCCCATACTAGGCAGGTCCTTTACAATCCATCCCACTAACAAAACATTTGCCCAACCCAATTTTCAATGCCATCCATGAAATAAGCTCTGATAACTCTATCCACTCCTCCATGGGGAAGTGGAACAGAATTCTTCCTCCGTAAGCCATGCGTGTTGTAAGAGGCGACTAAAATGCCGGGAGCAAGGGGCTAGTAACCCCTTCTCCTGTATATATTACTAAATTTAAAAAGAGAAACTTTAGTTTTTTCTTTTGGGCCACCCCACCTCGGTGGGATACGGCTGGTATGTTGAAAGAAGAAGAAGAACTCTATCCACTCTCATATGCAAGTCCCACTCAAATCCAACCCCTCTCACTCATGTATTTATCCAACCTATATTTGAAACTACCCAAGGTTTTAGCCTCAATAACCCAACTAGGTAGACTGTTCCACTCATCAACTACCCTATTTCCAAACCAATACTTTCCTATATCCTTTCTAAATCTAAACTTGTCTAATTTGAATCCATTACTGCGGGTTCTGTCGTGGAGAGATATCCTCAAGACCTTATTTATATCCCCTTTATTAATACCAATCTTCCACTTATACATTTCGATCATGTCTCCCCTCATTCTTCGTCTAACAAGTGAATGTAATTTAAGAGTCTTCAATCTTTCTTGATAGGGAAGATTTCTAATGCTATGTATTAATTTAGTCATTCTACGCTGACTGTTTTCTAACAAATTTATGTCCATTCTGTAATATGGAGACCAGAACTGAGCTGCATAATCTAGGTGAGGCCTTACTAATGATGTATAAAGCTGAAGTATAACTGCCAGACTTCTGTTGCTTGCACTTCTTGATATAAATCCCAGCAATCTATTTGCCTTATTACACACGCTTAGGCACTGCTGTCTTGGTTTAAGATTGCTGCTTACCATAACCCCCAAATCCTTTTTGGCTTACCATAACCCCCAAATCCCCCAAATGTGAAGCACATCCTGCATATTCCTGTTAATTTTCAGTTTTTGTTCCAGAAAGTGAAATACACTATCTCAACAAAAAAAAAAAACGGGAATGACCCAACTTCGTCACTAATGTTATCTCCTGCTGCTGTTACCTTACCAATGTTATCAGACGACCTCACTACCTAATACAACCCTCTGCCTCACTCATCACACAAACGACTAATTCACACATCCCTCTCCGCAGCACTGTGCGAGACTGTGACCCCTGTGGGTTTAATGCCTAACCCAATAATAATAATCAGACATAACTACAAAATAACCTTAAATTTTGAGGTAAATGGTATCAATTACTCACCAATAATCCAGGGTATGGGATCTTGTCCAAGTTTGCTGAAGAGACAATCATTGGTGGAACCAATGTACACAGTGTGGTTTAAGAACTCGGCTTCTTCCCACTTGTCGGTGCTTAACTCTGCTACAAATGATGCCTGCAATGATAATTACTATACTATTATGTTATATATGCAGCTGTGATATCAGTAATTACAGTAACTGAGTACAGAGACATAAGAATATCAAAAACAACTAATTCCGATCACAACCTAATCGAAGTCCAGACGTACATGCATAGGGGTCCTGATCAGCAGAATGCATGTACCTGTGAAGGTGTCTTCACAAAATATAACTTCAACAACAAGAACATCAACTGGGACCGGGTAAACCATGTCCTAAACGAAACATGTTGGGAAGATATCTTAAATGACATGGATCCAAACCAGTGCCTTGAAAGGATCAACTTCCTGGCAGCTGAGGCATGTTCTAGGCATATTCCCCTAAGAAAGAAGAAGAGGAGGAGTAAACTGGAGAGAGAAAGACGCTCCCTCTACAGAAGACGACGAAGAGTCACTGAGCTCCTCAGGAGTGCTAGAATATCTGATACACAAAAGGAGGCGCTGACCAGGTAAGTGGAAACTATCGAACTTAAGTTAAATGACTCTTACAGGAACCAGGAGAGACAGGAGGAGCTTAAAGCTATTAGTGAAATTGAAAGAAATTCAAAATATTTCTTTTCATATGCCAAAAACAAGGCAAATACCACATCTAGTATCGGGCCCTTATTCAGACAGGATGGGACTTACACAGATGACAACAAGGAAATGAGTGAAATATTGAAATCCCAGTACGACTGTGTTTAGTGAACCACTAATCGGTCTGAGGATCGACGATCCAAACGATTTCTTAATGAATGAGCCTTAAAACTCCATAAATGTATGCCAGATTTCCGACATTACCCTAACTCCGATAGATTTCGAAAAAGCCATTGACAACATGCCCATGCACTCAGCCCCGGGCCCAGACTCATGAAACACTGTTTTCATTAAAATCTGCAAGAAACCCCTCTCGCGTGCCCTAAGTACACTATGGAGGAGGAGCTTGGACATGGGTGAAATTCCAGTCACTTAAAACAACGGATATAGCCCCACCCCATAAAGGTGGCAGCAAAGCATTAGCTAAGAACTATAGACCAATAGCTCTGACGTCCCACATCATAAAAATCTTTGAAAGAGTGCTAAGAAGCAGGATTGCAAATCACCTGGATTCCCAAAATCTGCACAATCAAGGGCAACATGGGTTCAGGGCAGGTCGCTCCTGCCTCACAACTACTGGATCACTATGATATGGCCTTGGATGCACTGGAAGAAAATCAGAATGCAGATGTAATAGACACAGACTTTGCAAAAGCATTTGACAAATGTGATCATGGCGTAATAGCCCATAAAATACGTGCTAAAGGAATAACTGGGAAAGTGGGGAGATGGATCTTCAACTTCCTAACAAATCGAACACAAAGAGTAGTGGTCAACAGAGTTAAATCGGAGGCTGCCATAGTGAAGAGCTCTGTTCCACAAGGCACAGTACTCGCCCCCATCTTATTCCTCATCCTCATATCAGACATAGACAGAGATATACATCACAGCACCGTATCATCCTTTGCGGATGATACTAGGATCTGCATTAGGCTGTCATCTGCTGAGGACACGGTTAACCTCTTGTCGGTATTATATACAATTCTTGTACTACTACTACTACTACTACCACCACCTCTTCCTGCCTATATATAGCCGTCCTGCTCCCCCTCTGGTTAGTGTGACTTTGTCAATGGTCCAAGTCGGACCTAAACGTCGTCGTAAGCTTCTCTCTTTTATGTGCGGGTTATTTGTGTATCGTTCCAGTCACGGTATTGTGCCTTTTTTTGTTATTTAAGAAGATATAAACAAAGTTTTCCAGTGGGCAATGGTAAACAATATGATGTTCAATGAGGACAAATTCCAACTACTACGTTATGGAAAACTGGAGGAGATAATAACTAGAACAGAGTATACTACAGACTCTGGCCATACAATAGAGTGGAAAAATAATGCAAGGGACCTGGGAGTAGTAATGTCTGAGGCTCTCACTTTCAAGGATCACAACAGTGCCACGATCGCACGTGCAAAGAAAATGATAGGATGGATAATGAGAACGTTCAAAACGAGAGATGCCAAGCCAATGATGATCCTTTTCAAATCACTTGTTCTCTCTAGGCTGGAATACTGCTGTACATTAACATCTCCATTCAAAGCAGGTGAAATCGCAGATCTAGGAGTGTACAGAGATCCTTTACTTCACGTGTAAGTTCTGTCAAGCACCTTAACTACTGGGAACGCTTGGAAACACTTGACTTGTACTCGTTGGAACGCAGGAGGGAGAGATGTATCATAATTTACACTTGGAAAATCCTGGAAGGAATGGTCCCAAATCTGCACACAGAAATCACTCCCTACAAAAGTAAAAGACTGGGCAGGCGATGCAAAATGCCCCCAATAAAAAGTAGGGGCACCATTGGTACGTAAGTGTCCGGGGCCCAATACTGTTCAACAGCCTCCCATCAAGCATTAGGGGAATTGCCAATAAACCCCTGGCTGCCTTCAAGAGAGAGCTGGACAGATACCTAAAGTCAGTGCTGGATCAGCCGGGCTGTGGCTCATACGTTGGACTGCGTGCAGCCAGCAGTAACAGCCTAGTTGATCAGGCCCTGATCCATCAGGAGGCCTGGTCATGGACTGGGCCGCGGGGGCGTTGATCCCCAAAATAACCTCCAGGTAACTGATATAACAAGAATTCTGTACAGTTCACTATATGTGCAGTTATAATCAAAGGCAAGCATAAAACCCATAGGGGTCATACAGCGCCTGCAGGATAGGAGTCAATCAGGTTTGATCCAAGGGGATCCAAGGTTTGATCCAAGAGGAATATACATGTAGTGATTTTCTAACAGTGGTACCAAACCTGCACACGAAAATCACTCCCTATGAAAGAAAAAGATTCGGCAGGAGAGGCAACATTTCCCCAATGAAAAGCAGAGGAGCCACGAGTACACTGAGAGACAACACAGTAAGTGTCAGGGGCCCAAGACTGTTCAACTCCCTCCCAGCATACATAAGGGGGATTACCAATAGACCCCTGGCTGTCTTTAAGAAGGCACTGGACAGGCACCTAATGTCAGTACCTGACTAACCGGGCTGTGGCTCGTGCGTCAGCTTGCGTGCGACCAGTAGTAACAGCCTGGTTGATAAGACCCTGATCCACCGTGAGGCCTGGTCTCAGACCGAGCGGCGGGGGCGTTGACCCCCGAACCCCGAAACCCTCTCCAGGTAAACACCTGGATTTATTTAAGGATTTAGGATTTAAACTCATAATGTTTGCTATGTTGCGTGGAGACAACATATCCTTTTAATAAGTCTACCTACTGTTTCTCAACCTCTTTATATATATATATATATATATATATATATATATATATATATATATATATATATATATATATATATAAACTGATTACGAAATGTGCACGAATTATACAGTGGACTAGTTAATGTTTACGTTGGATATACAGTGTAAACATTCTTATTAAATTATTATTATTATAATCAAGGGGGAAGCGCTAAACCCGGAGGATTATACAGCACCTGGGGGGGGATGTGGAAGGCATTCATGCTTAATTCGGGGAACTGGAGCACAGATCCAATTCCCTAAATCAAGAGCCCCTCACCAACATCAAGGAACCTTCCTTGAGGGGCATTCTTATTAAAGAGATTATCATTTTTTTAGCCCATATACCAACGATAATAGTAAAATGCAAAATGTTTTTTATTAAAAGCAGCATCCATAATGAACACAAAGGCGCAGTACAGTGACTGGAACAATAAACAAATAACCCGACATGAGAAACTTTATGACGACGTTTCGGTCCGGCTTAGACTATGTGCGGGTTGTGTAAAAACAGCGATTAGGAAGCATAAAATATTATATTTATTCATTTAATTTCCGTACCTTTAATGCATCAATTGTTTTGACAAATTTGTACCATTGGACGATTAGGCTATTAAATATTTTTTTTATCATTATGATAAACACTAAAGTTTGCTAAGATAGAGCCGATCTAAATATTTTCAGAAAAAAGGTGTCTTTTGCAAGCAAGTTGTATTACACACTTCAACAGCTACACACAACAGTACACACACTGTATCGCAAACCACAGTAACTGCACACACATATTGTATTAAACGCAACAGTAACACATTGTATCACAAACCTCAGTAGTAGGCCACACTCACTGTATCACAAATACCATCAGTAGTACACACACTATCAGAAACACCATCAGTAGTACACACACTATCAGAAACACCATCAGTAGTACACACACTATCACAAACACCATCAGTAGTACACACACTGTATCACAAACACCATCAGTAGTACACACACTATCACAAACACCATCAGTAGTACACACACTGTATCACAAACACCATCAGTAGTACACACACTATCAAACACCATCAGTAGTACACATACTATCACAAACACCATCAGTAGTACACACACTATCACAAACACCATCAGTAATACACACACTATCACAAACACCATCAGTAGTACACACACTATCACAAACACCATCAGTAGTACACACACTATCACAAACACCATCAGTAGTACACACACTATCACAAACACCATCAGTAGTACACACACTGTATCACAAACACCATCAGTAGTACACACACTGTATCAAACACCATCAGTAGTACACACACTATCAGAAACACCATCAGTAGTACACACACTATCACAAACACCATCAGTAGTACACACACTGTATCAAACACCATCAGTAGTACACACATTATCACAAACACCATCAGTAGTACACATACTGTATCACAAACACCATCAGTAGTACACACATTATCACAAACACCATCAGTAGTACACATACTGTATCACAAACACCATCAGTAGTACACATACTGTATCACAAACACCATCAGTAGTACACACATTGTATCAAACACCATCAGTAGTACACACATTATCACAAACACCATCAGTAGTATACACACTATCACAAACACCAACAGCAGTACACACACTATCACAAACACCAACAGTAGTACACACACTATCACAAACACCAACAGCAGTACACACACTATCACAAACACCAACAGTAGTACACACACTATCACAAACACCAACAGCAGTACACACACTATCACAAACACCAACAGTAGTACACACACACTGGACGGGCTGGATGTGTAGTCCCGAAACTGGCTCCTAGAATTCAACCCCGCCAAATGTAAAGTCATGAAGATCTGAGGAGGGCAAAGAAGACAGCAGACAGAGTATAGGCTAGGTGGCCAAAGGCTGCAAACCTCACTCAAGGAGAAAGACCTAGGAGTGAGTATAACACCGAGTACATCGCCAGAAGCACACATTAACCATATAACTGCTGCGGCATATGGGCGCTTGGCAAACCTGAGAATAGCGTTCCGGTACCTCAGTAAGGAATCGTTCAAGACTTTATACACTGTGTACGTCAGGCCCATACTGGAGTACGCAGCACCAGTTTGGAACCCACACCTGGTCAAACACGTCAAGAAATTAGAAAAAGTGCAAAGGTTTGCAACAAGGCTAGTTCCAGAGCTAAGGGGAATGTCCTATGAAGAAAGGTCAAATGAAATCGGTCTGACAACACTGGAGGACAGGAGGGTCAGGGGAGACATGATAACGTCATACAAAATACTGCGTGGAATAGACAAGGTGGACAGAGACAGGATGTTCCAGAGATGGGACACAGAAACAAGGGGTCACAATTGGAAGCTGAAGACTCAGATGAGTCAAAGGGATGTTAGGAAGTATTTTTTCAGTCATAGAGTAGTTAGGAAGTGGAACAGTCTGGCAAGCGATGTAGTGGAGGCAGGAACTATACATAGTTTTAAGACGAGATATGATAAAGCTCATGGAGCAGGGGGAGAGAGGACCTAGTAGCGGTCGGTGAAGAGGCGGGGCCAGGAGCTGAGTCTCGACCCCTGCAACCACAATTAGGTAAGTACACTGTATCACAAACACCATCAGTAGTACACACACTATCACAAACACCAAAAGTAGTACACACACTATCACAAACACCAACACTAGTACACACACTGTATCAAACACCAACAGTAGTACACTATCACAAACATCAACAGTAGTACACACACACTATCAGAAATCTCAACATCAGTACATACATTCTATCACAAACCTCAATTGCCACAAAAGAAGCATTGTGCATGTTGAATTCCCTCTCTGGCACTCGAGCATACAGGAAGACTGGTGCGTGAGGTGCCACAGGTAGTAACAAGCCAGGAATGAGGACTCTCTCATTCTGGTTTGATGTGACAAATGTGTACTTCCAGTTGTGTCGAGTACTGTTCTTGTATTGATACTGTGAAAGTAACATTTTTTTAGTAAATGTTCTGGCTATACCAGCTGAAAAAGTCGCATTAAAATTGTTTACCGTCATGCTAACAATGCAAAATTACAGCGTCAATTAATGATAATCCAGTTCAACACAAAATGTCTTAAACTACTGTGAACATTTATATATAGTATTTGATTTTGATTATGTTACAGTAATGCTAAAAAGGGAGCATCTAATTAATACACACAAGCTTAAAGTGATTACAAGAAAAGGAACAGATGTAAAGAAATTACAGAAGGGGTGGGAGTTCGAACCCATGGCAGGTGAGTCCTGACACTCACAGGTCAGTGTACTCACCACTGGATGTAAACATATTATATGAAGAGCTCTGCAACATACCTTACAGTATATGAAAATATGAAAAAATGTTAATTCCAAGAATGAGGAAAGCGAGACAATATAGAATAATTAACTGTTAGGTGATAGAAAAAAAAAAGATTTTGAACCAATAAAAGAAGTGCATTAACGAGACATGTATCAGAATCAAACAAACTTAAAATTAATAGAAAGCACACATGAAAAGGAAAGAGAAAAAATTGTAAGAGCAAGACAAGCCAAATCTCTAATTGAAGTTTGTAAATAAAGTAAATGGAGATAACATGATCCATGATAAAGAGTAAAGAACCACAATCACCGACAGGAAGAAAATGTACGAAAGCGCAAGAAATAGTTTCATTATATATACAGATGGAACAAGAGCCGAGACCACACTATCCTCTTAAAACAGACCCTGTCAAAATGACCAAAGAAAACACACTACAATACTACTATTCTGGATATTGAAAGCAAAGCAACAGGGCCAGAAGAAACACAATTGTGATATTTGAAAAGAAAGGAAAAGAATTAAGCAATCCACTCTGTAGTGGTGGTGGGGGGGGGGGGAGAAATTTCATCACAAAACGGTACACTTATGGACAAATAGAAATGTGGCAAGTGTTGTTCCGATATTAAAAAAAAAAGATGATCAATGCTACAAAATATCTGTTCACAAACACTGATGTATAATTGAAATAGGATTCAAGAGGAGGAAGAATGTGCTATGCACTAAAAACTTGAAACTATATCATAAACTGAAGATAAGACCAAGAGTATATCTCTGCTCCTGTAACTACAAATAATCAAATATATAGATATTCACATAGGGACACGGCATGAAAGACACACATGGACACTCACTGCTATTAGAAAGGTGATATCAAGAGGCAGGTGACAATGATTGATGATGGCTGTTGCTTCTATGTGTTCCTCAAGGATATTTAGGATACACGAGGACACATAGTTTTCAAGGTGACACGCACACGCACCTGGGAAGGGCAAAGTGTTATTAAATGACATAATTGTACACAATGGGACTGGCTCATGCCTAAACTTGCTTTGTCCTAAATTTCGACAAAACAAAACTGTCTTATTCGTGTATGAAAACCGGTTTATCTTGCGTGATATATGGGAAAAGTAAACTTAATAGTAAACATGTGATATCACAATATGCAAAACAACCACTGCGAACAAACAGTGACCTTCCTAGCGGTTTCGTGATTTCTCACATTATCAAGGACCTGCAAAAATAATAGAACAGCAGAAGGTTTATAAGACTGAGATATCACCTCACATACGTCCTTACACCCGTCCCAGGATGATCTTGGTGGGAGTGTCAGGATATGTGTCAAGTGAAATTTATGCAGGACCTGTCACACAGCATAAATTAAAGGATTAAGTATTGTGGATATTTTAGATTAGATGAAGAAATTAAATTCTGAAGGTCTATGAAATAGTTAATGATATAAAATACCCAAAATACTTAATTGATAACTCATTTAAAATTGCCAGAAACACATTCTGCAATTCAAAAAAAGGACAAACAATCATATTCAACCAAGAATATGCTGGTTCTACCTTACCATGAAAACCTTCTTGATATACTTTCTCTACTTAAGAATATTGAAATAAAAGTTGTATTTAAAAATCCTGATACAGTAAAAAAAAAGTTTAAAAATTCCCCTGAAAATGCTGATGGCTGTGTCTAGAAGATCCCCTGTAAAAAATATAATAAAGTTTATTACAAACTGGTAAAAGCCTTGAACTAAGATTACAGCAACATAAATATAGCATTAGAAGTGGACAAGAGTCTAATGCTCTGTTAATTCATGAGAGATTTTAATCATCCAACTAATTTTCAAAAGGCCGAGAAAGATGTATCAAGCAAGTCTATGTCTGACAGAAATATAATTGAATTTTCTTTAAAAAATAGTATTGATTTAACATAATAATTCGGGATTATATAAATCAGATCCATTTATAATTAATAAAACTGACGAGGAATTTGCGTGTGACAGGTCCTTCATAAATTTCACTTGACACGCATCTTGACACCCACAGGCATCATCCTGGGACGGGTGTAAGGCTGTATGTGAAGTGATATCTCAGCCTATTATAAGCCTCTTACTGTTCTGTTATTGTTACAGGTCCTTGATAATGTGAAAAATCACGAAAGCACTTGGAATTTCACTAGCTTTTTCAGCGTGGTTGTTCTGCATATTGTGTTATCGCCTGTTTACTGTGTAATATATATATATATATATATATTATATATATATATTATATATAATATATATATATATATATATATATATATATATATATATATATATATATATATATACCACGAACAAGTGGTAGCCAACAAGGATTCGAACCCATATCGTTTTGGCCCTGCCTTGTGGCGAGCGAAAATCACGTGACGCCTCAGCCCACAGGACCACCCAATGTTCGAATCCTCGGCTAGTCGCAGTGTTGTTATTGATTCAATACCACTTGTTCGTGGTCACAATAATGTCTATACTGCTTGTGGAGTACAGACATTATTGTGGGATAAGAATGAAATTAGCTTAGAGTCACCCACACCACCGTATGTCCTTGGACAAGAGTAACACACCTAGTTTGACCGGGTGCTTGGTTCTTGTAGGACTGGGTGGTCCTGTGGGCTAAGGCGTCACGTGATTTACGCTCACCACAAGTCAGGGCCAAGACGACATGGGTTCGAATCCTCGGCTAGTCGCAGTGTCATTGATATATATATATATATATATATATATATATATATATATATATATATATATATATATATTATATATATATATATATATATATATATATATATACATATATATAGGTAGTAGGTTGGTAGACAGCAACCACCCAGGGAAGTACTACCGTCCTGCCAGATGACTGTGAAACAAAAACCTGTAACTGTTTTGCATGATGGTAGGATTGCTGGTTTCTTTTTCTGTCTCATAAACACGCTAAGATAACAGGGATATCTTGCTACTCCTACTTACACTTTGGTCACACTTCACAGACACGCACATGCATATATATATATATATACATACATCTAGGTTTTTCTCCTTTTTCTAAATAGCTCTTGTTCTTTTTTATTTCTTCTATTGTCCATGGGGAAGTGGAAAAGAATCTTTCCTCCGTAAGCCATGCGTGTCGTATGAGGCGACTAAAATGCCGGGAGCAATGGGCTAGTAACCCCTTCTCCTGTATACAATTACTAAAAAAGAGAAGAAGAAAAACTTTATAAAACTGGGTTGCTTAAATGTGCGTGGATGCAGTGCGGATGACAAGAAACAGATGATTGCTGATGTTATGAATGAAAAGAAGTTGGATGTCCTGGCCCTAAGCGAAACAAAGCTGAAGGGGGTAGGAGAGTTTCAGTGGGGGGAAATAAATGGGATTAAATCTGGAGTATCTGAGAGAGTTAGAGCAAAGGAAGGGGTAGCAGTAATGTTAAGTGATCAGTTATGGAAGGAGAAAAGAGAATATGAATGTGTAAATTCAAGAATTATGTGGATTAAAGTAAAGGTTGGATGCGAGAAGTGGGTCATAATAAGCGTGTATGCACCTGGAGAAGAGAGGAATGCAGAGGAGAGAGAGAGATTTTGGGAGATGTTAAGTGAATGTATAGGAGCCTTTGAACCAAGTGAGAGAGTAATTGTGGTAGGGGACTTGAATGCTAAAGTAGGAGAAACTTTTAGAGAGGGTGTGGTAGGTAAGTTTGGGGTGCCAGGTGTAAATGATAATGGGAGCCCTTTGATTGAACTTTGTATAGAAAGGGGTTTAGTTATAGGTAATACATATTTTAAGAAAAAGAGGATAAATAAGTATACACGATATGATGTAGGGCGAAATGACAGTAGTTTGTTGGATTATGTATTGGTAGATAAAAGACTGTTGAGTAGACTTCAGGATGTACATGTTTATAGAGGGGCCACAGATATATCAGATCACTTTCTAGTTGTAGCTACACTGAGAGTAAAAGGTAGATGGGATACAAGGAGAATAGAAGCATCAGGGAAGAGAGAGGTGAAGGTTTATAAACTAAAAGAGGAGGCAGTTAGGGTAAGATATAAACAGCTATTGGAGGATAGATGGGCTAATGAGAGCATAGGCAATGGGGTCGAAGAGGTATGGGGTAGGTTTAAAAATGTAGTGTTAGAGTGTTCAGCAGAAGTTTGTGGTTACAGGAAAGTGGGTGCAGGAGGGAAGAGGAGCGATTGGTGGAATGATGATGTAAAGAGAGTAGTAAGGGAGAAAAGTTAGCATATGAGAAGTTTTTACAAAGTAGAAGTGATGCAAGGAGGGAAGAGTATATGGAGAAAAAGAGAGAAGTTAAGAGAGTGGTGAAGCAATGTAAAAAGAGAGCAAATGAGAGAGTGGGTGAGATGTTATCAACAAATTTTGTTGAAAATAAGAAAAAGTTTTGGAGTGAGATTAACAAGTTAAGAAAGCCTAGAGAACAAATGGATTTGTCAGTTAAAAATAGGAGAGGAGAGTTATTAAATGGAGAGTTAGAGGTATTGGGAAGATGGAAGGAATATTTTGAGGAATTGTTAAATGTTGATGAAGATAGGGAAGCTGTGATTTCGTGTATAGGGCAAGGAGGAATAACATCTTGTAGGAGTGAGGAAGAGCCAGTTGTGAGTGTGGGGGAAGTTCGTGAGGCAGTAGGTAAAATGAAAGGGGGTAAGGCAGCCGGGATTGATGGGATAAAGATAGAAATGTTAAAGCAGGTGGGGATATAGTTTTGGAGTGGTTGGTGCAATTATTTAATAAATGTATGGAAGAGGGTAAGGTACCTAGGGATTGGCAGAGAGCATGCATAGTTCCTTTGTATAAAGGCAAAGGGGATAAAAGAGAGTGCAAAAATTATAGGGGGATAAGTCTGTTGAGTGTACCTGGTAAAGTGTATGGTAGAGTTATAATTGAAAGAATTAAGAGTAAGACGGAGAATAGGATAGCAGATGAACAAGGAGGCTTTAGGAAAGGTAGGGGGTGTGTGGACCAGGTGTTTACAGTGAAACATATAAGTGAACAGTATTTAGATAAGGCTAAAGAGGTCTTTGTGGCATTTATGGATTTGGAAAAGGCGTATGACAGGGTGGATAGGGGGGCAATGTGGCAGATGTTGCAAGTGTATGGTGTAGGAGGTAGGTTACTGAAAGCAGTGAAGAGTTTTTACAAGGATAGTGAGGCTCAAGTTAGAGTATGTAGGAAAGAGGGAAATTTTTTCCCAGTAAAAGTAGGCCTTAGACAAGGATGTGTGATGTCACCGTGGTTGTTTAATATATTTATAGATGGGGTTGTAAGAGAAGTAAATGCGAGGGTCTTGGCAAGAGGCGTGGAGTTAAAAGATAAAGAATCACACACAAAGTGGGAGTTGTCACAGCTGCTCTTTGCTGATGACACTGTGCTCTTGGGAGATTCTGAAGAGAAGTTGCAGAGATTGGTGGATGAATTTGGTAGGGTGTGCAAAAGAAGAAAATTAAAGGTGAATACAGGAAAGAGTAAGGTTATGAGGATAACAAAAAGATTAGGTGATGAAAGATTGAATATCAGATTGGAGGGAGAGAGTATGGAGGAGGTGAACGTATTCAGATATTTGGGAGTGGACGTGTCAGCGGATGGGTCTATGAAAGATGAGGTGAATCATAGAATTGATGAGGGAAAAAGAGTGAGTGGTGCACTTAGGAGTCTGTGGAGACAAAGAACTTTGTCCTTGGAGGCAAAGAGGGGAATGTATGAGAGTATAGTTTTACCAACGCTCTTATATGGGTGTGAAGCGTGGGTGATGAATGTTGCAGCGAGGAGAAGGCTGGAGGCAGTGGAGATGTCATGTCTGAGGGCAATGTGTGGTGTGAATATAATGCAGAGAATTCGTAGTTTGGAAGTTAGGAGGAGGTGCGGGATTACCAAAACTGTTGTCCAGAGGGCTGAGGAAGGGTTGTTGAGGTGGTTCGGACATGTAGAGAGAATGGAGCGAAACAGAATGACTTCAAGAGTGTATCAGTCTGTAGTGGAAGGAAGGCGGGGTAGGGGTCGGCCTAGGAAGGGTTGGAGGGAGGGGGTAAAGGAGGTTTTGTGTGCGAGGGGCTTGGACTTCCAGCAGGCATGCGTGAGCGTGTTTGATAGGAGTGAATGGAGACAAATGGTTTTTAATACTTGACGTGCTGTTGGAGTGTGAGCAAAGTAACATTTATGAAGGGATTCAGGGAAACCGGCAGGCCGGACTTGAGT